AAAATATACAGTCAATTCACTTTACAGTATATTGTGTTAAGCGTTTTGAGCAGTCTTGAAGACGTGATAAGGCGCTATATCAAATGCAAGGATTATTATTAAGTCCACAGTCCACATGGTCTATGACTCAAATGCTCATAAAAGGATAATTAGCTTCTGAATTCCATTGCAAGGTCAAGTCTGAACCAGCCAGTGACTGCACTTATTTGTCCAAATCTCTTTAAACCACTGACATAAGTCTGGAACCCGGATTTGTCCTGTTGAAATCAACAGATGTTTTTACAGACAAAACGCATAATACTGCAAATGCTGGAAATCTGAAACAAAAACAGAAGTCGCTGGGAACACTCAGCAGGTCAGGCAGCATCTATAGAGAAAGGAAAGTGAGTCAACGTTTCGGGTCCATGACCCTTCGTCAGAACTTTGACCTGCTGAGTGTTTCCAGTGACGTCTGTTTTTGTTTCAGATGTTTTTACAGAGTCATAAGAGCAACATTTTACTACTGACAAATTAAATTGTTTTACAAGCAATTGGTATCAAATGGAAAGTGATCTCAACAGCTGATTAAATCGGGCAAAACAAGGCTCACTTTTATCTGAAGTTTCTTGACTTCTTGGTAAACAAGGCCTGAAATGAAACTTTTGCTCAATTTTAACCTGTCATGACTGTTGGTTGATGTTTAGCCTTCTGCACTGTCCTGGACATTGTGTGTGTCCTAGCTATTACCTTGCATTCCTCAGTAACCAGCCACTTGCTCCAAGTCAACATTTCTCTGGACTACTCTGCCATATATCCTGTTGCTAACTGGAGCATGGCATTGCAGACATCCTGGATCAAGTCTCCTGTCTAGGACATGCAGTAATAAGACCAAACAAATTGGACAAATTAACAGCAATGGCAATGAGAATATCTACGTAGAAACACAGTTATGTTGTGTCACAAGTGTACTTTTATTTGTACACGGTGTGCACCATAATTCTCCCCCTCATACATGCCACATTCCTCTGCCTTATCCCTTAACTTGACTTGCTTTTTACATTGTTGATAAATCGCGGTCAATTAATGATGCTCAGTTTTTTTCTTGGCTATCAGTGGTCATTAACCACAATCTTTTAGCAACTTATTTTTCCCCTTCTTCCTTGCTTGGCATCCCACCTGCCACAAAGTAGTGCTCGAATCATTATCCTACATGAAGAAAAGCTAAATAAATGCAAGTTGTTGTTAATTGCACACCTTTGAGATGGCTGCACACCTTTTTGAACCATTTTTCTCTCTGGCGTGATTTGAATTATTTGGTGGCTTTCACAGAACAATGCAAATGTGAGCAGATATTTATAGCATGAACATGTTGTTCGAAGACAGTCTGGGTTTGTTAAGAGATTCACGGACTGTGCTTAATGATCAATATTCCTGGTACAGTACTAGGTTGTTTGGAAGGATGCAACAGTGATTGATATCTTTTGAATGTTGATGTGTGTCACAACCTTCAAATAATGAAATCTATCATACCACAAAACTGTCTGCACAACACCTGATATCCCATTCGCTTCCTGACTGAATTTCAGGCTTTTGTGTGCTTTAGGGCATAAATATGCATTACATATAAATCCAAGGATGGCCAGCAGAGAAGATCAACTCATACCCCATCCCTTTTTTTTAACTGGATGATTTGCTTTCAGGAGGTTGTGTACGCACTGTTTAGGGAAATGAAGACATGGGATAGAGATAACGAACTAACTTTCAACATTGAAGCAGTAACTTCAACCATCTAAAATGCAGAGAGAGGTTCCAGCTGCCATCTGTGACTGTCATATTCTCATAATAGCAGATTTTTGCACTTGCCATACAAGAATGGATTTTTTTTGAATCCTGCACAATGTTTTATTGAACACTGCGGTTTTGGGCTAAAATTGAATGCAAGCAAAGTTGTACAAGAATGGAATAATCGCTTCTGATCGGAATGGCACCTTGTGCTCTTCCACTTTCTTTGACCCTGTTCAAGAAACTTTCCCTTTGCAAGCATATACTGGGACAATTCATTTTAGACTCAATAATAGATCTACTGGGCCCTATTTTACCAAGTACCATCTCACGATCTTGACTATGATTCAGATGGTAATTGATACAGATAAGAAGGTGGAGGCGAATTTAACTGGTTTTCAATCAATCAACTGATCGGTTTTGCCAGAGGATGGGCATGTACTCGTTATACAGATCCCCTTAGGTTGTGCAAAAGAAAATAACACAGTAATTTGTAACACACTAATAGGGGTAGGAATCTATAGCCTGAAGTGTTTCACGATCTTAATCTTTAAAGCACTGTCTTATAATTTAAGATCACGCTGAGGTTTGGTAAAATTGATAATGTAGTCTGAATTTTCAAGGAGTTTTCTCCCAGTGCTTAATAAGGCATTTTGTGCCTCTGACTGGAAGTCATGATAATAATAATAGATATGGGAACACCTGCATTTCTGGAGCTGGGGTGACTCAGCTGTGTCCATCAAAGTTACTATCAATATATCAATATACTATCAATATATCAAAGTTACTATCAATGCAAATCCTTTGTCTTGACAATAAAGGGGTCTTGAATTAACACTGACAACAGTAGTAGATGTCTAAAACACTTTGGCGAGAGAATCAGGAAAGAGATTATTAGACCGCACTTCAGTCTTTAGAAACTGCAGTGAGAGGCAATTCATTTGAAGCAGCAGAAAGGTCATGCAATGGAGAAGAATGGATGTTTTTAGCGGCTGAGAGAATATCAAAGGGCAAGAGAATAGATGTATATTGTCATACGTGGTGTCTCACATAACTGTTCTCTGAACATTGAGCATTCTGAGTACAAAACCATTGTTGTCCTCACACTGTCCTTATAAACCTAATGTAATTGTCGCATTTAAACTTTTCTTTCGGTAAGTTTTGAGTGGAAAGAAAAGAGTCTGTCATCTCCATAAGCCTAATATTGCTGCTTTTACACTGAAACACCCTGGATTCCTTGAAACATAATAAAAATTTTGCTCACAAGGCTGGCAAGCAGGCAAGCAGAAAGGTAGGCAGTTTAAAGATGGCTAAAATAAACATTTATAATAATAATAATAATCCTTGTATTTGATATAGCGCTTTTTACGTCTTCGCGACGTCTCAAAGCGCTTCACAGAATAGACTGTAAAGTGAATTGACCGTATATTTGTGGGCGAAACACGGCAGCCAATTGCGTACAGCAGTGTCCCACAACAGTCGTGGATTGAAAGTGACCAATTTATTATTGTTTTTGGTTTTTTTGGAGGGATTATTATTATTAGCCGTGCACATGAAACACACTCAAGTTATCCATTAATTATGGACAGCTCTTGCACAGTACTACAGTTACTGCAAACTGCTGCCATACCCGGTTAGGGACCGTTTAAGGGTGACAGTGACAACAACGGGTCACACAAGGGTCGTAAGACAAGTTTGGATGAAGAAAGCACTTTGGCTCATTTGATCTCATCTTTCCACAATTCCCACCCTACAGCTTTCCCGGTTACAGTGACAAGCCTCTTACACAAGTCCAACTTCCTGGCCTCAGGAACTTTCTTGGTAATCCTGTTATAGTCATTATTCCCCCTCTGTGAAAGAGATTAGATTGCATTTCAGTATTAGGAAACTGCAGTAACAGGCAATTCATTTGAAGCAGAAGAAAGGTCATGGAGTGGAGTAGAGGAGACATTTCTGGTGGCTGAGAGAATGACAAAGGACAAGAGAGTAGATGTGTTATGGACATATGTGATGTTCTACATGACTATTGTCTGATCATTGAGCATTCTGACTTCTAACATACTGTTGCCCTCACACTCTTCTCATGAGCCATTGTCATAAGTAATTGTCATGTTTAATTGTCATGGTTTCTGGCCCAGAAAATTCGCTTTGCGACCCTGAACCAGTTTGCTCTCGTTCTGCTGTCTTGGCACATCTGAATGTCCTGGTTCTGCATTTACTTTCTCAGTTCTGTTCAAAATCTGAGATGTTCCTTTTGAAGGTCCAAGAACCCTAGATGTCTAATCATTGCTCACAGCTCATTCTTCTAACACCAGAGATCGTCCTGGTGCCTTTACTGTACTAGAGCTTCAACAGCATCACCTTGATTTGATCTGGCTGTCATGCGCTTTATCCAACATCAGCAGCCCATCCTGCCAGAAGGAATACAAACCCACTGCTTGCTCATAGTTAGCTCTTGTTAAGTCCGCAAACGAAAGTTCTGACTGGTAGGATGGCTCAAGCTAGACAAGCGGCAGGAAGCCTGGCAGACAGTGTTCTTAATGGCAAGCTATGTGATTTCGGCTGGTGGACAATTAACCCCAATGCTCACCCTTGGATCCCCAAGCCTTGGCTCTGGCCAGCCCTATCTATCTATGCCTTATACTTTCCGGAATTAGGCAAGGCAAGTTATTCTCCAGTACTGATAATAATAATAATAATCCTTGCATTTGATATAGCGCTTTTCACGTCGGGAGGACGTCCCAAAGCGCTTCACAGAACACACTGTAAAGTGAATTGACTGTATATTTGTGGGCGAACACGGCAGCCAATTGCGCACAGCAATGTCCCACAAACAGTCGTAGATTGAAAATGACCGATTTATTATTGTTTTTGTCTTTTGGAGGGATTATTATTAGTTGTGTGGAGTAAGGAAACTTGCCCAAGGTTTCGCCCTCTGCCTGGAATCGAACTCAGCTCTCTCGCTTGTAAAGCGAGTGCTCTAACCACTGAGCTACAGGACTCCACGATACCGGTGGCTTTTAGCGAAATAAAGATTAAAAACGTCTCCCACGTTTCCACCCCCCACGTCCATGATTGCAGTTGCAAACAGATGAGTTTCTCCCTGTCTGGGCGCAAACGCACTGATCCTTTGAACAGGAGCCAGGGAACATTCGCAATTTACAGTGTACACACATGACTAGATTGCTCAATAACCAGCCTCCCACCAATATAACCCTCCACGCCTCACTTATCTGCTGCTCTTGAGTTCCCAACCAGTAAAATGAGTGTCACATTCCAGTGGTGACACATGCACAAGCTTCAACACCACCCCACCACCACCACCAACACCAACACCTTTCCTGGGAGTGTTGCAAAATAAGTCAGAGGGGTAGAGGATGGGGCAATAAATAAGCATCAAAGGGGATCGTTCATTTTGCACTCCACGTCAACAAGTTAACTCAGCGATCCAAAAAAAACACACCCACACACTCCCACAACAGCGGAAGTTACTGGGAAACTGTTGCAGGAACAAAAACCAGTGGAAAGGGTGAGAAATCACTCTCAAGAGAGCTTGGAGCAGAGACTGGGAGACGATCATCTGCAGAGCAAAAGCAAAAGCAACCATGACCAATGCCCTGGTGATAGTGGCGACTCTCCTCCTGGTCCAGGACCACTGTCTGGATGCCCAGATCCATCAACCAAGTAAGTAAAGGAACGTTCAGGACTCAGAGCAACTGTTACGCTTCTCCAATGTTGCTTTTTTTTTCTTTCTTTTCTTTTTTTTTAAAAAAACCCCTGCAACTCCAGGTCAGTTTGCTTTGGCTGATGATGTCTGTGTTGTTGTTGCGTTCATGTGGAAACCTTCTCATCTGACTTGACCCTAAGGTGGACTCAGTTGCCAGTTTAAAGAAAAAACTTTTTTTTTTGTTTGACTGTTCAAAGGCAACGATGGGGGGAATGCGTTTATTCCCCTTATTTTTAGAGAGAGAGAGAGAGAGAGAGAGAGAAAGACAGACAAAAAACACACACTCCTGTGAACTGGGCAGTGACTGATCAGAACCAGTGAATGGAAACTATAGTTTAAGCTGTAAGTCGTCTCAAATGCTTGCTGTGCAAAGGAGAAATGTGTAAAACAATTTGGAGAGTTGTTAATTGTGTGGCTTCTGGTTTGTGAATGTCAAGTTGGCAGTTATCAAGGAAAGGCAAACCGGGAATGGCAATACTATCGCTAGTAATCCTTGCATTTGATATAGCGCCTCATCACGTCTTCGAGACTTCTCAAAGCGCTTCGCTGAATATACTGTAAAGTGAATTGACTGTATATTTGTGGCGGTGGTGCTGGTGGAGTGGGGGACACACATGATTGAGGCTAGATCGGAGCAAATACCGACCGCTTTTCAGTTTATTTTCAGATGTAACGGGTTGGGATTAACAACTGGTATTTTGCAATCTGAAATTTGCAATCGGAAGTCACATTTGGCCTCACTTTCATCAGATTCTAGACCAAATATTACATTAAAAATCTGATGAAGGGTAGCACCCAAACTCCTAACCCATCTTTCTGTTTCAGATGCTAACCGACCCACCTAAAGTACCTTTTAAGGAATGTTTGAGAATGATTTTACATTGAAGCTATTAGGTTACATTGCTATACGAACATTGTTATCGTATATTGTAGCTCAAACCGCAAAGTACCACTTATTGTATGTTGAAGTCGGATAATTGGAATCTAGCAATGTGGCACACCAAGAATAATCACCTGGAAGAGGAAATTCACACACTATTGAAGAAAGACTGCCTTGATTCTAAAATTGGAGTAAAATATATGATTCTCTGATGAGCACCTTTGCTTAAACTGTAAAAAGCCTTGATCTGATTTAATATTAATCACACTGAAAGCAGCCATCAGATATCATGGATGGTTTTGTTGCTATTCACAAATCTTTCAGCAATTTCCTTAAGCCAACCACTAAGTCTTTTTAATATCCTTTTATGCGAGAAGGGGGAATGCATCACCATGAATTCTCTCACCTTATATATTGGCTTGCAGTTTCAATGCCCATCCAAGCTGGGAAGAAAAATGGGGGAGTTTAAAAAGATTCAATTGGTTCACTTTTTCTACATAGGCGACACAGAGCTGGTCAAAGCACCAAATCCATCTGAGTTGATTGAACACCAGTAGAAAAGAGCCTAGGGCTAGATTCTAATTTGTACTCTGCAGTTTTCAATTGAAATGTCAACAGAAACTGAAATAAATATATTAACTTTCAGGCAGCTTAAATCAACCCTATGTACCCAGTGTTTCTGTTTCAACACTCAAGTAAGAATGGCATTCATTTTCTTTAGTCAGCCAGTTAGGTGTCTGATGTCCATGGAAATCCACTGCCATGCTTAAACGTCAGTCTGGTTTGAATACTCTTGAAGCATGATGATGGGTTTCCATATGGGGCAGAACAAAACCACTAAAATGGAAGGAGTTACGATCTAGGGAAGAGATGCTTTAGATATTTTTGTATCCATAACTGCTTGGTACAATGTCATTGTATTGGAGACGGGTTGTTTAGCAACAAGAATAATCTCAGAGTCCCTGAGACCGTAAGGGATGTGATGACCAATACACACCCACTCATCGTGGGCTTTTATGCAAACATGGAAATCAGATATTGACTGTAGGATATATAGTCATATGTGTACATAGTCACTGCTTATTACAATTTATGACAACTTTTGGTCATCTTTCCTTTCCCACCCATCACCCCTGCCAGTAATGTAAAGTGCTTTGATATGTCTAGCAGACCTAGTAGATGCAGTATAAATGTTACAGTCATTCTAACCTTGTGGCTGACACCAAACATCATCTACATGCTTATGCGTGCAGGGAAATTCACCACTACCATTTTTAAAGGTGAAACATTTCACCCTCTTTAGGATTGATTTGCTTTATTAGCTCAAAAGTTATTCATTCCTTTCCAATCCTCCCAAGAGAGAAGTTCTGCGTCTAAATTGTCAAGCACAAAGGAGGAAACCTTCATATTTGTAAGGTGAAGCATGAGAAAAGAAGGTGTTTTGTGATGGATGCAAATTCCTCTGAAATAGTTAATAAATTGACTTAGACTTGCACATACCGTATACAAAAAGACTATTGTAGGATCACATCTTTAACAGACTCCTACGTGTAAATACACATAAACCTGGAACACTGACTCATTCCATTTGTCAATAACACGTACACTTGAAGTAGATTTTTTTTAAAACCGTCAACACCCCACTGTCTGAACGGATATGACTGGATGTTTACTTAAACAGATACGCCAGAGATCACACACAGAGGAACGTGTGGCACATTTCATAGTGCTGATTACTCCACATATTGTTTCACTGTTAGCATGTAAGTTTGATTGAGGTTCTATTGTGGAGTACATTGCAGAACTGAAAACTTGGGGGGGGGGAAAAAAGTTCTCATTTTCCAGTCAACTTTCATGTCAGATGCCTTAAATTCCATCCAGTTTAAGCCTGTTAAGCCCATTTTGTATTAAAACCTAAGATATTGAAGATCTAAATTGACAAAAAAAAACTGTCGCCGTGTGCTATAATTTAAGAGTCCCGAGCTATTCATAACGCAGAAGTTTATACAATTAGCAATATATCAAATCAGGCCTCAGTCAATTGATGTACAGTTGGATTGCATTGCTGTTAGTTTTAAGTGTTGTGAAGCTGCAGTTGTTCTCACCATAAACATGAGGCAAGTTTCCTTACTGTACACGCCTCTGTTTGCCTAGCAGTAAGTAGGAACCTGGTTGTCAGTCGATTGGCGGATAACGAGGCTAATAATCCCTTCAGAATAATAATAATAATTTGGTCACTCAATCTACGACTGTTTGTGGGACACTGCAGTATGCAATTTGCTGCTGGGCTTTGCCCACTAAATATACAATCAATTCACTTTACAGTATATTCTGTGAAGCACTTTGAGACGTCTCAAAGACATGATAAGGCGCTATATCAAATGCAAGGATTATTTTTATTATAGTGTTTGGTGCTTCCTTCTAGTGGCTATCTCTATAAGTTTAATTATGAAGGACAAGCGATTTTGGCAAAACCATGTCTTTGGTGTATTCTCTAGTAGGGCATTATTTCCTAAGAACTTCCTTCACCTCAGCATCTCCTTTGTTTTCCGTTAAAGCACGTTACTTCTGTACGTTGCAGACTTAATCAGCATTTGGTAGGAAGACTGACGTTTTGTTCACTTTAAATGCCCACTTACAAAGGGAAAAAATGACCAAACAGAAGCTGTGCAATGGAATATGTACTTGGTTTGTATAAATTTAGGATGAATTAACACAACATTTTATCATGCAGAGCGCAATATCCCAGAACTGCAATACGGCCATGAGATATGCACACTGCAGGCGAAAACAGGCCGTTGCAAAGCTTATTTCAGGAAATTCTTCTTCAATATATTGACCCAGAACTGTGAACTGTTCACCTATGGAGGATGTGACGGGAATGAAAATAGATTTGAAACCATTGAAGAATGTGAGGCTAAATGTAAAGTGAAAGGTATGTATCAACGTGTTTTTTTTCAGTCAAACACACGCTGTGCCGTAAAAATATTGTCTTGGAGCATTTCGAGAGAGCAAAATAACCCATCAAAAGTTCTTCCTCGTGCTCTTTTTAAACTCATGTTATCAAAATAAATGGCACCATTTCAGCCAGTGGAGTCCAGCGAATGGGGCAGCTCAGTTGCTCAATGATCACAATATTTACTGAAGTGGTCAGTGGTCTATGCGAGGAACAAAAATATTTGTAATGCAAATAGTTTATAGCCACAAGCTTTTCCGTTTGTCATATTGGATTAAGTATGCCTGAGTCGTTGTGTACACCGAGATCAAATATATTTTGTATTAACAAAGCGTTTAACCTACAATTTCCACTTTTTAGATATCATTACAACTGATGCCCCAAACTATATTTGCTTTGAAGAAAATCTCAGTGTGCAGTTCAGTCTGTGAATAATTTATCATTGCCTTTACTTGTCCTTCTTCATATGCTTAGCAGTGATTCATAATTGATGAGAAAGAGCACTTTGTAGAACAATCTGTAGTGAGTAACTGCTACAAAGAACTATTACAAGAAAGAGCAAATGTGGAAAATAATTTGGAAAATAAATAGTAGCTTAACACTGGCCTAGATGTATTGGTTAGATTTAGTAAAACCTGTAACTTGACAAAAGATCCACAATAGAAGTGCATACCAATAAACAGAAGTGATGCTGGGCTGGCAAGGATAAAGATAGGAGAGTGAATGTAATAATAATGCTCATATAGATATCAGGGAGAAGGGCGAGATTCTGTCTTTATTTCCTCACGGAGAGGTGTGAAACTGCAGTTCAAGTGATCTTTACCCAGAGGATGATTAACAGCTGCAACAAGTTGCCGAGGTAAGGACATTGGATGCATTTAAAAAAGCAGCTTGTTGTTCTGTCGGGAGGAGGGAAGGTACGCTGTGTGCTCTGCAGGGATGAGCTCAAAGGGCCTTCAATATCTGAATCAACCTTCCTTCCTCCACAGCAACATAGTTGGGGTTCAGAATTCGATCGTTGTGCTAACAAAGTATGGCCTGAAAAGAGCAACACCCACATTGGTGATAGGCTTGCAAATAACTATTGTATTTTGATGAATTGAGTTTGCGCATGTTGTTCTAATCCAAATTTCCTTTGCAAGTGCCAAGAAACAGATTGGATTGTTTATGGTAATGAGGAAGCTATGTTGATTACTCTGTCCCTCGCCTTCCGTTCTGTAAAGTTTCTTGAAATTGTAAAGTGGAACTGAAATATTTTTTGCCCCTACACTATTTCTGTAAGTGATTGAATGATGTAAACATTCAGAACCACTGTTGGTAATTGCAGTCCAGGTTTCTCTCTGTAAATTCCTCTCAAGGCAGAGTCTGATGAATATCCTTGCCAAACCAGTTGTTTTCTCCCTGCAAACAGAGAGCACTGCACCCAGACAAAAGCTCTGAAATTTACAGGAGAGTCTGGGATGACACAATACCTTGTAGCTCAAACACAGACATGCCTTCTCGAATGCCATGAAATTGGAATAGAAAAACACGATTTTTGGCACTGCGACCATACTTTTCAATTGCAGCACTTGAATGTTGGCGACATAAGAACGCTGCAGCTGGAGCTCCTGAAAAACAAGCCAAAATGCTTATGTGCGTTAAAAATGCAACATGGCTAAATGAGTAACAAGTACAGGTTGTCTTGAATAGTAGGGTAACCTTCTGGAAACCCAATCAATATCTTTTACACGTATCTTTGTGAACAGAAGCTTTTAATGCATGTTAACTCCGATTCTGAGATAATGACTATAAATCATTTTCTGATTCTACGCTCAGTTCATTTTGCAGAGTTGTTCTGCTGCCACTACACGCCAGGGGAATAGAGTGAACAACTGGAACAACAATGATGGAGAGACAAAGAGAATTCACAGAGTCTGTTGAGATAATGCCATATAAAGATTCAGAGTTAAACATCAACACTTTCCAAGTATTACTCAATTCACAGTACACCCTCCCTGCATTGATCTCACAGCTTACTGTAATTGGTATTTCAATCACTCCTCTCCTTCTCTAAGCATCAACATAGAATTTTGATAAGAGTTCCACGTTCAATGCTGAAAGACCAGCTCATTCAAGAGCAGCTGTACTATGATCCTTATTTGCAAATTAACTGTTCGGTGCCAAACTTAGTTATTAATTGAGAGCTTTTAGGTGATTTGGGGCAGCTTTGAAGTCTTATACCAATGGCCTCAGTATGTCTAACTCGATGTGCTCTACTTACAGTTCTTTTAACCCGGTCATCATCCTCAAAAAAAATGAACTTTGTGATAATTTCACATAAACATTTAAAATCCATCTTTTGACAATAAAACAGACTTTGCTCATTAAACATGAACCGGTGTTTACCCAATTTTAACGAGGCTATAGTTTGTTTTACTGTCTGAAAGCTTGTATGAATACTCAGCTGGAACAATATGTATTAAGGCTGGCATTTTGGCTCAGATGGGATACGGAGGATGTGATAAGTGTCTGTCTGCACAATGGATGAACGACAGTGATTTGCTGGCATCTGTTATTTTCAGTGCTTTTAAAGCCGATTGCCATGACTCCTCATTACCCACATCTGAGTCTGCATTACATCTGTAACCATAGATCTTTGTTCTATTCAGGCTCAGAGCCATTTGATGTACAGACACTTTAACCTTTATTTTCACTTTAACCTCAGGCCCTTTTAGATCCTGTACAGGGAGCAAGAATGCTGCCAAAAATAACATAATTTTCAATACCAATGTTACTCTTTCCTCAGCTGCTAAAATGTGTTTTACTATGGTATAGGATGGCCAGTGGCAATATTCCATCTCGCAGAACCAATTCTGCTCTCTTTAGGCTTCAATGAGCGATTGGAGGGTTGATAAGCATCAGAGCATCTTGAGAAGTATTTGATAACTACACCAGGAGCTCCCTGTAAAAATCATTCACTTCATCTGCAAAATAAAAGAAGGATATCTGTGATGCAAGACATCCAAAACAAATTTATTTGGCATTGAGCAATCTTTCTGCATCAATTCATACTACAGGAGCACTCAACAGCAACTTGTACCCGTATAGCACCACTCAAATAGAATGAATGTCTCCAAGCACTTAACAATTATGATAGGGAACACCGAGCATACATACAGAAAAGCAAACTGCTTTGTAGTTAAAGTATTATCACCCTCTTAATAATTATAAATCTTGCAATTTGATATCCTGCCTTTTATGTCTGGAGGATGTCTCAAATCAGTTCACAATGTTTTTAGTGAAATAAACTGGTTGTACACCACGTGTACAGAACTATAAAGTGCTATAAAGGTTATGTATTTTGTAGGCCCTCCCCCACATGATAAAATATTGTCCTCTCTTCCTGTATATTGTCCAGCAAAGGGATAGTTCCCATGACTCTGCTGAAGAAACTCTTTATTCAACTGGTGTGATTTGCAAGAGGGAATGAATTCACCTGTGCTGTCTTGTCTGTTCGTCAGGGGAAGTACATAGACATATCAAATGCCAGGATTATTATTATTATTAAACTTTAATTCCCTCAAATAGCTTGGGAAGGCAAGGACTGGAAAGTTCCCTGTTCTCCTGCAATGCATCAATGATGAACCTCAATTTAACAAAAACTGAATTCAGCTGAACAAGTAAACATGAAAAGAGAGATGAGCTGTTCACAAGCTTTGTTCCAGCAGAACACTTGGTGGCTCTTGTACTTCAGATTAGCAATTGGATTTTTTCTCTTGAAGAAATGAATATTAAAATTTATTTTAATATTATCACTGCCTGCACTGAGGTTAGGCTAACTTATTAAAAAAAAGATTAAATTAAATCCAATGTATTCAAATGATTACTAAAGACTATTAATTTTGCTTAGCCCAGACCATGTGATAAATGGGGCTGTTAAACTTTCACAAGAATTCTCAGTGAATTGTGTTTTAGAGCATTTCACTGGAGTGAGATAATAGACTGTAACCACAGTGCTTTTTGTGTGAGGTTGGTTGCATGGATTACATTGTGAACCATTTGTTCATGTAATTTCATTGATATCACGTCATCTAATAACCACAATCTGGTTTAGCCGTAAATTTCACAGCAAAATTACTTTTAAAAATCAATTTAAAATTTAATTTTTTTCACGACTCAAATTTCTATAATTGTAACAGTTGGAAAGACAGCAATAAGCAATAAAGAGATTTCCATTGTTGATTAGAAATTGCACATTACACTTCATTAATCTGTTCAGATTTGCTAGTAATGGGTAGTTTCCCAATATGATGGTTATATTCAGTTTGTATGAAAATTATGGAAAAATTGCACAATGACCTAGCTCCATGAGACAGAATTCAGACTATTACTTTTATGATTAATTATTATAATGCCATAGAAAATGAAAATAAGAGATGTGTATTTCTATAGTTTTCATGGTGAAGCTGTGAGCTACAATGGGAAAGCGAGAGGATTGCAGCATGGGGATGGTTATTTTCAGTAATAAGATTGCAATTGCAAGACATTTATATTAAAAATAAAATGGTTAGTCACAAAATTGGATATCATAAAAAGCAGCTTATTGACTTAGAAAGCACTCACAGATAATTAACATTGATTAATTTCCTTTGTAAACTTTGAATATATGTATATCAGGGCAATATCAATTCTTCACAGGACATTTGTTCCTCTCAATGATCTCTATGTTCCCATACAGTTTTGTTTTTCATGCTTCATCTACATTTCTGCACTAATGTCTATAATGAAGTCAAATTGCTGCTAGTAACATGGCTGGATTGTTTGATGTAACATATCACTCTGAGCCAATGCAAATAATAACACTAACAATTCTAAACAGTGCCGACAAGCAAATTTGTATTTCCACGCATGAAAATACCACATCCACAGCATTTTAATTACAGTTATAAATACATTTACTTACTAGTTTTGTGCAACTGTTGTGTTAAAAATAAGTACCAAGGGAATATGAAGAACAACTGCAGTAATGATAATGGAGGGACTTAAAGCATTTACTGAGCCTATTGAGATAAGGCCACATAAAGATTCACAGTTTATCATCACTATGAGCCAAGTACTTTCCATTTCTCAATTCACTTTATACTCACTGTATTGATTTTATTTATGAAATATCATTTCAGCTTACATCTTCTACTTCGATCAGCCTTGAATTTTGGATCAGTTCCAAACTCAATGCTGAAAGACAGACTCAGTCAAGATCATTTGTACTTTGCTCTTCAGAAATGGATCCATTGTTTAAAATGATAGCATTTAATCATCCTACTTTTATACACATTAATCTCTATCAAAAGAAAATGATGTTTCTAACGCAGGGTGTAAAAAGGTTCAAATGTACACTGAAAGCCTTTATTCAACAGTTTAAACGGTATTTTTTAAAAAACGAAAAAAAATCAAATACCGTATTTCCGCCTGGGATCATGGATGAATGTGCTATCACTTAAAATAATAATAGATTAACATATAACACATTCATTCCTGACTCTAGATGGATACATGGGAGGACATCTCAAAGAGCTTCACAGGGTTTACAATAAAGTCTAGTGACTGTATTTTGAAGCCAGCTGTGGCAATTGGGCCCATTACAAGCGGCTTTGAAGTGAACAGCCAGTTTTACCTGTGGAGGTAATGATCAGGACAATGATCCATTTGGAGCTTGGAAAGTACAAAAGAGAAATATGTCAAGCACTAATGATGGATAATATGAAGAAAAGAAACTTGCTGAAGCCATAAGGACAGAGATGAGGGAATCGTCCATCAATTATATTGCTGTGTCACTTAGTAAAAACACAAAACTAGAAAACTTCTAAACTTTACTTTCACTCCGTTAATAATGTGACAATATATTTTGCAGATAAGAGAAACCCTTGCTTGCTGAATTTTGATGCAGGACCATGTAGAGCACTTTTCACGCGATACTATTACAACCAAGTCACAAAACAATGTGAGACATTTTCTTACGGAGGATGCCTTGGAAACAAAAACAACTTCCATACTTTGGAGCACTGCCAGAATAAATGCCAGAAGAAAAAACGTAAGTGATTTTATTCCTAAGTGAGTTTTACTTAAAACCTATTCGACTAACAGCTGGTAAGCCTTGGATGGATAATTTATTAAAATGTTAAAAAACATGAGTTTAGGCAGCATGAAGGGTAACACTGGGCCAAAGCAAAGTAGTGGTGGCTGCAAAAAAATAAATCTAAAGACTTGGTGGTCAAACAAGATGGGATGTAGAGGTCAGCTGCTTCCCCGCTGGGAGTGAAGGTAAAAAAATCCTTAACCAATTGTGCATGTTTTTACAGCTGGATTGTACTGGTGATAGTCAGGATAGCCAGGCTGTGTTATCTTCTTAGAGGGAGTAAAATGAAGAAAAACCACAGATAAGAGAATCAATCACTATTGTCTTGTTTGCCATCGACTCTGACATAAACCTTTAAATTAGGTGAGATTGCCACTCCAAACAACACAGTAATTTCACAATTGGTTATGGGATTAAAAAGTGAATGGGAACTATAATAATAAAGTAATGGGCAGAAATTTGCAGCATTTTAAAATGTGTTTCTTGTGAAAGTTATTCATTCCCATATCCGTTGTGAAACAACAATAGATCATTGAATGCTACAAATACTTCACATTCTATGTACATTACTGACAGTGTACCAGAATATCAAGGCATCGAGACATCTCAGTAGTTCACCTCACAAGTAACATTGAAGATTAAAATGTGATATTTACAGGCAAGATGTGGTCACGATTTTGAGATTGAATCTCGCCCCCCCCCCCCCACCCCCAAAAAAACCCCAATGACGTATAAGGATGGAGTCACTCCATTGCCACACTTCCAATCTCAGAAGTAAGTGGCATGATTGCATTCTGTTAGTAATTATGTACACATTTACTCCTGGAGACATCACTCTGCAATCGGATGCGTTTTCAACCCTTGTAATGACATTCCCATGACTGCTACAGTCCCCTGAGTCTCAAGGCGATAGCCATATGTTCATGCCATTTATTTTAGCATTGTAACATTGAAGAATAGGATAGCCAAATAGCACACTATGTGTCATTGTCAATTAATTAGCTGGAAAACAGGAATTACCGCCAATGTGGCCATGTTCATACTTTTCAAAATGATACCTTTTGACTATTCTTTAAAGATTAGCATAGAATCTCTCAGTAAGTTTAGGCGTGTCATGTTAACAGCTGCAAAATGAATCTTTATGACCTCAAATTTTTTTGGCCAGCCAGTATCTTGAGACATTCGGAAACCCGTTCCCATGCTTAAGGGTATTCAATTCAAATTAAAATTAAACTACCTATACATGGAAATTCCAGAGATGTTTATTGGATTGAAATATGCACTCTCTTCCTCGAGGCATGCATCCTACTTATCGAATTCCGGAGAATATTGGGCGCAGGTTGGCAATAACCAAGGCTTCGGGACACCAAAGTGTGTGTTGGGGAACTGCTGAAATTTAACCAGCTAAAACCACATAGCTTGCCAATCAAAGCTCAGTCTCCCACACGTCCAACTGCCTGTCCAGCTGGGACCAGCCTATCTATTAGCTTTTGTTAACAGGGTTAAAAGGAGCAAGAAGAATAAGAATCCCTTCCCCCAGTCTGTCCATCCCAAGTTCTACTGTTTAGTGATCTCAAAAGGCTCCTAATATAGAAAGCTGTGATTGTATGTTGGGTGTGTTCTTTGGCTGCAATTATTACACCCTGAGTTCAGTTACACTGCATGCAACTGTTCCCAACGTATAATCTCTTTAAACTTTCCTGATGTTTTCCCATTTGTTTTGCTGAGCTCCATCGCTTCAGCTGAGATATTACAGCACTTATGAAATCACTGAGCCTTGAGTTATCCTATAGAGAATTCTCCAAGAATTATTTCCACATATCTCCAGACATTTTTTAAAAAAATAACCTTTGGGTGGTTGATTATATAAAACAAAGGAATGTGTTTTGGTTTTATCCAACTGCTGTGTTGAAAAAAGCTCATGGAAACTCATTATCGGGAAGACAGATGAAGTAATGGTGGGTGGTGAATCACCTGCAGTTTTCAAACTGTTAATCTGCTAGAATATATGTGCACCATTCCTCAGTAACAAGCTGTAAAATCAGGCACAATTTGCCTGCACTTCATATCGCACGATACAATGGCAGTTCAGTTTGGCTCAGAAACAGGAGGTTGATGCCAATCTTGGGTGGGAACAGCTATTGGCAAAACAGTTGCATAAATGGAATAAAATTATCTCTGATTAACTCTACTTCTATTTAGAATAATGGTTTGGAGGGTGGTTCAAGGATTTAAGGACACGACAGCTCTTGAAGTTGGGGGAATGTTAAGATACCGGTCAATTGGTATTGTATTTATATTATCTCAATACAGGAGAGAAATTCTACCTGGACCAAGATTTACTCCGCTTACGTAGCATTTGAGAGCATGCAGAATTTGTTGAATTCAGTCTTAACTTTGTTGTCTGTAGTTCTTAAAAGAAACTTACAGAAATCAAGCTTTAAAATTAAAGCTGTAGTTAAGAACTTGCGAAATTCTGAACACTCTGAAATGCTAGAAATGCTCTGAAGTAACAACAACTTGCATTTATATAGCGCCACCTCACATACGATAGCATTCCAGAGTGCTCGATAGAGCATTCACAATCTATAAATAGAGTAAATCTAGACATTGGTGAAATTTGTCTCCCAACAGGTAGATCCCAATACAATGCAAGTACTTTCCCCGAGAATGAGAAAATCCAGGAATTCTTCTGTAGTGTTAAATAGAGAAGTGGGTGGTTTTGTGATATGAAATGCTCTAAACACGAGAGGTTCAGGTAGTCTGTCTCTTGCAACTGACTTTCAGTTTAGCAGAGATGAAGGGAGCTTTGAAATCAAATTTGCTGAACACCCTAACATGTCAAAATGGCCCTAATTCGAGCAGGAAAGAGCATTGTTAGAACATGTTTAAAATTGAGACTTCAAATCTTTGATTGAGAAACTATAATAAACTGTGAACACACGCTTATGAAACAGACCACAGACTAATAATAATAAAACCCTTGCATTTGATTTTAGTGCCTTTATCATGCAGTCAAGCCATCTCAAAGCGCTTCACAATTTTTTACTGTGAAGTGCAGTGACTATTTGTAAGTGAACTGTGACTATTTGTAGGTGAATTTGTGGGTAGATAGTAGATTCTTTGAACCTGGGATCTTGACCTTCAGCCATCCTACAGTTTGGCAGGACAGTCTATTCATGTGTTCATTATTTGCTTAATTAATCCTCAAACTGCTAGCAACAGCTTTTGTTGTGTTTGCCATATGGAGTTACTGTTTATTCAGCAGTGAAGGGTAATCTGAACTAAGCATAGATGATCTTATTTAGGAATGGACATGTCTATAAATAGATCAGAGTAAGTTTAAAATAAAACATAAATAAAGAATACATCATTTCAGAGTTTATTGCATTTGAGATTTCAATTATTAGATGTCTTGGAAAACATTTTCTCACACCTAGATTTACCCTATTAATGTAACATTTTAGACCATCCACAATTTGGCAAATTCTTAAATACAATCAAATTTTGAAGCTGGTTTTCTGCAAGTTCTTTTAAGAAATCTGCCTTTATCATTAAGACTGATTTTAACAACTTGCCAAATTATGGTTGCTCTAAAATGCTATGTTAATAGAATAAATCTTGACTCAGGTGGAATTAAATAAAAATTTAGTGCATCTCACGCAGGGAACTCCATGCTGACTTGCAAGACTTCTGGTCTGAGGGAATCTTAGGTCATAGCCAAGTTGCCTGGGGTTTCCTGCAAGAGACACACTTAACATGTTGAAGCCTTTTCCCCATCACTCACACCATTTATTCAACAGTTTTCCTGTTCAAGCGCTTTCCCAGCTCCACTTTAGTTCTGTTCATGAAGTCAGTAAACACTGAAGTTAAGTTATGTAGCACTATATATCTTGGGTGTTTTTTTTCCATTTTAAATAATTATTTTCTCCTTTCTACTTCGATGTCTGTTTTCTGTAGTTCTTACAAGAAACTTACAGAAGTTCAACTCCTCAATTAAGGATGTAGTTAAAAAAAGATTGTACTGAGCACAAATCCTCACTTGGCAGTTTATCAACAAGAGGAGAGAAGGTGCTTGCGATAAAAGGTCATTCAATGAGGATAGACAGAGAGTAACCTCTCTGGTATCAGCTTAACTGCTTTTTATAGGTTTATAGAACAGGACAATGCAGGGGTATAAACCTGCTGAATGTGCATCAAAATAATGTTTAAAAAAAACCCAGAAAGTTTAAAGTTGGTTACAAAAGAAACAAACTATTTTCTATCATCAGAAATGCCACTACAGTTAAATAATAATAATGATCCTTGCATTTGATACAGCTCCTTATCACGTCTTCGAGATATCACAAAGCGCTTCACAGAATATACTGGAAAGTGAATTGATTGTAAAAATACCAATAAACATAGCTCTAAGACATGTTTAATTATATGTGGCACTCCATGTACTCCTGATGTGAAAGTGATGTGATTTGTACACACTTATCCAACACCATAATTGAAGCATTTCAAGTATTTTGAGCTAGCAGAAGTAATTTTGGTCCTTGCAAATAGATGTGCCACCAATTTTTTTCCTGAAGATTTACTTAACATTGAATTATTGACTTCTAAACTGATCTTTCCTTATTACGTAATTCTGGCATTTTCTGGCATCAAGGTTTTAAATTAATCACCCAGGCTAACAGGACTGGAACGGAAATGAAGAATTAATTTAAGTATTAAAAAATGCCATGACCTCAATATTATCATTGCCTCGGGAGTCCAAAGATCGCAGTTCCCATAGTGCAGTATGTTCAGAATCCTTAAATACGAGGAGATCAACAAAAAAAACGACTGGCTGATTATAACGGGCTGCAATAAGATTCATCTTAACTGCTTTGATGTGTATTAATAGAGGAGGATGAGGCATGGCTGAAGACTTTTCCTGACATTGTCACTCAGATAGCCAGATAGGAAAGCTTCAACAACACAAACCCAGTGTTTTGGCTTCTCTCTCTGCTAAATTCTTTTTTCACTACTCTTAGCTTCCAATGGAAGTTGTTAGCAGAGCTGAAAATTCGCAGGTACAAGGGGTACATTTTCAATTAAAATCCTGACCACAGTTTAATTACTAAACACTCAAAATCATTTTATTTGCACTTTCATAAACTGTACAGTTTTTTTATGTCAAGAAAAGTTGTTTTAAAATATCTGTCAGAAATGCCTGGAAGGTGGCTGGAGAATATTTTCAGTCCATGATATATATTGTATGGTTTGCTGTGGTTCCTGTGAGAATTTGGATATTCCAGACAGTTTGGGGGAGAAATTCTGCCTGGCTCTAGATTTGCTCCATAGTGTTTCAGACTTGTATAGAATTTGTCAAAATCCTCAAAGCAGGTTTTATTTTGGGGAGCTGGTTTTCTGTAAGATAAGTGTAACTGAAAAACAACTTCAAAGATAAGACTGAATTTGCCACATTCTGCAGACTTTGATTTCAGAATAAATCGAAATCCAGGTCAAATACCTACTCCACGTGTCTGCAATTCCATGTGCTCTTTGAGATCAAATTTCTTAGCTCAGCCACATTCTTTCTGTCTGTCCGTCTTCTTTCCCACTCTCGCCAGAAGATTAACCATTTTAAAATCAAGAAGCCCAAATCCTAGTCATTTACAATTTTCTAGTGTTTTCTTCGTGGAATTCCCTCACAGTCACAAATCCTGAAAGTATGTGGACATGTGTCACGATGACCCATTTAAATGATACCCTCTGGTAAAACAAGCTTCCCATCAGTTGTCTTGACCTGCTTCAGATTCCCAGCAGAATTTCATGTTTATGACTGAGTATTAAGGAATCCGAATAAGATACTTGCTGGCCGTCAATCATCTCATGTTACTGCATTTTCATTTGCATAGACTGAAGGTTATAAAGTCACCATGGCAATAGTCATTTTATGTAGAACTCCTCTTATCCAACTGCCACTGCAAGAAATTCCCCTGGAGTGATAATGCGAAGAAGCCCACTATTCCACTCATGTTATCAGTAATTTTACTGTCTTGCTTAAAAGGATAGGGTTTGAACTTGGCCACTTTTCCCTTTAAAGATTGCAGCATTTCTGCACCCCTCCCAATTACAACACTCCCAAGTCACTCGAATATTTCTTGTTCAGGGTCACAATGCACAAGACTGCAAAGTTGCAAGAATGAAATACTTAATGTCGGAATCCTGCAAGAGGGAATACTTTTAACAAACACAAAAGGTGATAGCAGCACTTAGAACAACATAGCTTCTCTAGACTATCTTTGGGGATATTTCCACACCTGAGGCTTATAGTTGAGGCTGATGGTTTGGAGAATGTTTCCTGGACTGTAATTGCTCTTGAATCAGAAGCAAATTCCGTAATACCATGTGATGCTAATTGTGTTTTTGTCTGTCTCTCAGTAAATGTTCCAGAGATATGCAAGCCATCTTTACAAAAAGGTGATTGCAAGGATTCCCTTAAAAGATTCTTCTACAACATTACCATTGATAAATGCGAGATGTTTATCTACACTGGATGTGGAGGTAACACAAATAACTTTGACAAAAAAAGGACATGCAATCAAGTCTGCAGAAAAGGTACCACTCGCCTCCATACTATTTAATATTGTATTGGAATAAAAGCAAACAATCATAGCGCCTTCTCACGTCTTCGAGCTGTTTCAAAGCGCTTCACAGAATATACTGTAAAGTGTAGTGACTGTATTTTGTGGGTGAAATGTGGTTCATCTGGCTGACTCGTTGTCCATACATTATCTTAAAGGCAATTAGATAGGAGCTTGAAAATAAATATTACAAGGTTATGAAGATAGTGAAGGGGAATGAGATTTGACCTTGGGTATGGGGAAAAAACAGAAGAATAGGACTAAATGGATACTTCTTTCAAAGACATATCAATTTTAACGCTTCTGAGGTGGGTGAAGTGAATGAAAATGCCAGCACAGATTTGATGGGCTGAATGACCTCGATCTATGCTGCATCATTTTATGATCTTGCTCAGAGGCAATCTTCACCAAATAGCTATCTAAATAGCTGGCTTTCGCCCACAAAATATACAATCAATTCACTTGACTGTATATCCTGTGAAGTGCTTTGAGACGTCTTGAAGACGTGATAAGGCACTATATAAAATGCAAGGATTATTATTATTATAGTATTTGGTGCGGACTGCTAGAGGAATTCTCTCCTAAATTTGCTGATGGCATTGCTTCCAACATCGCCCAGGATAGTCTATTCCACATGTTTACCAGCCTCTGTGTAAAATAATTAAATAAAAATAATTAATCTCTATTCTGAACTTGAGTCAGTGTTCCCTTTTTCTAGATGTTTTGAACCACAGTAAATATATTACGGTTTAGTTGATTTATCCACTTATCTTACAAATCTTATCAACAATTGGTATAAAAGTGAAACAAATGAGCCTTTTGCCATAAATAAGAGAGATATTGGAAATACTCATCGGTGTTGATAAATAATTAATTCAATTGCATATCTTTGATGTTATTCGATTTAAAAGTGCACAATGACAAATTTGCTGAAATGTATTAATGGAGAATTGCTGACTACAGATCAACAAATACGTAAGAAATCCGCAACACTTGGTAACACAAGGATTATTTAGTCTTATATAGAGCTTGCCTTTACTCCCGCGGAATACAGCCTATTCTTAGACATATAATAACAGCCGAGCCACTGATTCCTAATTTTTATTGCAGATTCATAGTTCGTCTCCTTATTTCCATTTCAACAAAATGAACAAAATATGTAACCGGAGCTCCCTCTAGTGCCCAGTAGTGAAACTGAGCAAAAGGTCCTGAGTTTAGTACAGTATAACTCTCCTTCATATCCCCTTCTCTGCCTCTCACTAATCTTCAGCTGAGAGTGTGGGCATTCTGCCTGTGGGTGTCTCCATTGTTACTATCAGGGCTGCCGTGGTTCGGACAGCAGAAAGTTGGCTGGTTGGAAACCATCCTGAACAGTCCTCTTCGACCATGTTTACAGCCAGCAGCCCCCTTCCCCCCGACTCGGAGTCAGGCTCTGCCACTATTAACGAAACAACAGCAAAATTACATTTGGATAGTGCCTTTGATGCCTGGAGGGCGTCCCAAGGCGCTGGACAGTCAGTTTCTGGACAGTCAGTTAAGCGCTCTGAGACGCTATCCTGCGTGGAGGGCGCTATATAAGTGCAAGTTGTTGTTGGTTCACCAGACCGTTTGTGCTAGATTAGTCATTTGCCTGTTTTGCTTGTGTGTCGGTCATTGTTGTACATAATACATTTTTCTCACAAAAATGCCGGAAATCCACTGCTCTATTTTTCCAGTTGTATTGAACAGTGTCGAGTGTACGTTATCATCGCTCCCCCACTTTCATCCCCGACATCTCCACCCTCCTATCTTCCTTCTCCCTTGCTCCAAAATCCTCCTCATCCTAGTCGACTTCAACCTTCACTTCACCCCCTCCTGCTCTACCTCTGCTGACTTTTCCTCCCTTATCTCCTCCCTCAATCTCTCCCTCCACATCCACTCCGCCACCCACGTCCGTGGTCAACCCCTTGACCTGGTGATCACTCAGTGCCTCACCGTCTCGGACCTCGCCATCATCGACAAAGCGATCTCGGACCATCAGTTCATCTCCCTTAACTCTTCAATTCCTCTTCCCGCCACCGCCCAACCTACCTCCATCTTCTACCGCCCCATGAAAAAATCTTCCCCCCTCCCTCTCAGCTGCCTTGGAGTCATCTGACCTCCTTCCCCTCTGGGCTTCCTCCCTAATCCCCTACCATCCTACTCTCTCTCTCCGCTCAGTGGGCGCCGATCTGCTTCACGTCCCCCGCCTCGCTTACCCCACTATTGGAGTGCAGGCTTTCTGCCACTCTGCCTCCACCCTCTGGAACTCCATCCTGCAGTCCCTCCGCCTCGCCCCCTCCTCTGCCACCTTCAAGACCCATCTCAAGACCCTCCTCTTTGACAGTGCGTTTTTTGCGCTCTTTTTTGCTGTCGAAACCGTTTCTGTTTCGGGGACATTGATGTGCGCATATTCGCCTCCGCCTTCGCCTACAAAAAAGTCTCAATGCATTACTTTGAGATAACCTACCGATGTAGAAGGCGCTTTGTCAAATCAAGGAATATTTATTATTGTTTTCAGTTTACTTTCTCAATCCCATTTAAAATTTTCTACAGAGTGATGTGCACAGTAACCATTGCCTATGTTGCATGTAAACATAACCATAAGCAGCTCGTGTCCTCTCCCGTACCAGGCTCCATGACCCCATCACACCCACCCTTGCCCGGCTCCACTGGCTCCCCATCCCTCCGAGGATCGAGTTTAAGATTCTCTTCCGTACATTCAGGGGCCTCCACGGCCTTGCCATTTCGTACCTCTCCGACCTGCTAACCCCTTATCAACCTGTCCACTCCCTCTGCTCAGCAGGCTCTGACCTGCTCCATGTCTCCCACCCCGCCCAGCCCGCCCCACCATTGGAGGTTAGGGCTTCAGCCTCTCTGCCCCCACCCTCTGGAACTCCATCCCACATTCCCTTAGCCTCACTCCCTCCCTTGCCTCCTTCTCAAGGTACGCTTCAAGACCCTCGTCTTTGACCGTGCCTTCAGGCACCCTCCTACCCTCTCTGTCCTCCACCCTCCCTGATGCTAACGGACCCCCTCCCCCGTTCAGGTCCTAGTCCCTGATTGTTCAGCGCCTTGGGATGTCCTCCTGACGTGAAAGGCGCTTTATAACCGTAATTTTGCATTGTATTGTATAACATTTTGCTATATGTATTAAAACGCCTGCATTTTAACTTTCAGGTAAGAAGCTGAACACTGTTAGCATCTCATAATAACTGGAAGAAGGAAAGAAAATAATGAAAAATTCAAACCAGTTTAGAACATGAATCCTGAAATCTGATGGAACTGTAGTAATGATACCGAGCCTGAAGATTCCACAGCTTACGTTTTTGACACATCTGCTTTCTTTTTTATTATTGTATGAAAGGTTCCATATTGTGATGCATTAATAAGCAACACAAGCTATTAATCACTAGCTGCTAACTTTGTTTTGTTCTCTGCTGTGAATGTGACCCTGTCTCGTCTAAGACCTTTTTAATTAATGTCGTAGTTGCTGTTAGGATTGGAACAGACCATGATGTAATCTGACCTTTACATTAGGTTTGACTCTGGTACTTGCTTTCATTGTAATGTGAACGAGCGCAGAGAGTAACTATGCTCTACCCTCCATTCAAGAACACCCAGAGCTCCGTGTGTGCAAACAAAAATCTGCTCTATGTTGTTTCACTGCTGGTGATACTTCTATTGTTAAAAAAAGAGCTGATAGTAGTTCACAGTGATTCAATGTATGTTGGACTGCACTAATTGGAAGACAATTTAAGCCTTGCACAGAGCAATATTACTGTGCTGCTTCTGGATATATCTAGTATTAGGAAGTATTAATCTGTAGTTCATCTGAAATGGCAGTTTTTCTTAATACAGTATTAGTTGCGAAGACACTTTCTACCCTTTTCTACTGGAAGAAAGAAAAACCCAGCAGTCCATCAGAATGTTACATTGCAATAGAATCACATGCACATGACAGGTGACATTATTGCAAAGACATTGTTGACTCGGGTATTATTGTACCAGAATCAAACCTAATGTAAAGGACAGATTCCATCATGGAATGCGACTTTTTTCAGCATATCCAGTTGGCAAGAACTAACATTGGAAAAAGAAATGACAAAACAAGCTTTAATGAACCGAGGCCTTTCGTACAAGTAGTATTGATCACTGAAACCTGATTTTAATCAGGTTTTACGACTCATACACAGCAAAAAAAATCATATTTGTCTCATAGCTCTCTAACCCAGCACATTGCTCCTTAATCCTCTTAAACAGAATGGCTCCTTCCAGCTCTACCAGTGGCTCAGCTTGCTTATCTGGTGAGCCAGTCCTAAATTTGATGCCCAGTCTATGCCAGAATAACAGTAGAGGCATTATAGTCGGCCTCAACGACACGGATGAAAGGGGAGATTGGCTTTTATGGAACACAGAATATGTATCAAATAAACCTCGTTCTATAGAATTAGAATTGGAATTTGAGATTGCTGCCTTGTTGGGCTTGTAGATCTTTTTCAAAACACTGAGAGCAAATGATGGAAACTGCTGGATAAATAGGCAGCTTTTAATGAAGAAACCATTATCTGAAGAGGATATATTAATATGCTTATAGTGTGCCATTATGAGAAACAAAATCCTTCCTATGTTCATTTCAAATCACGGATTAAAATGTGCCAAACGGAAGTGATTTCATGCTCTCAAGGCTATGGAAGTGTTTTGTGCACATTTTTACATTATTATAATAAGTATTAATTTTTTATGAAAATGGTATGAAGTTAGGAATCTTAGCATATTATAATCGAATATTACACATAATAGCAAATAAAACTGTGGTTCCTGATTAACAACAATGATGTAATTACAAAAACAACCTGTAAGTTTTTTGGTAGAAATAAACTATTTTACAACCCGCATGCATAACTTTGCTTTATTTAAAAAAAAATTAAGATATTTTAAACGAAGAGTACTCGGGAAAAGGAAAATGTGAACTTCTGTCTCAAAACGTTGGTTCAAAAGTGTTCAGCTATTATGAAACTTTCCAGTTCACTTTTGCAGCAATTTTCTGATCAATTTTATGGTCTCCAATTTCTGTGGATGAAATAAATTTATTTTACTGTGTTCATGATGGACTGTTAGTCACACAAAGAGATTTAGCACGATTTAACTTTACAGCTGCACACATCTACACAAAGTTAAAACTAATTTTGTTCATTTTTGTTCATTTCGTCTACACGTTTAACTCTGCACGTAATGCTGCTGTGGATTTCAATAGATTATATAAAAAAGGTATTTCAAACAGAAAACAATATATTTCACATTTCTACTGATTGTCATGGACACAGTACATTTGCGGTGAAACTATTTTTTGCATGTTGTAAACAGCAGAGGGCACTCTCTATCCTCAGATGCTTGATTTTGATGATAAGCAAGTGCACATAAAGAGAAGTAACTTGCTAATCTGTCTAACATAGCATATGTGTTAATAATTCGATAGGCAGTGGTAAGAGTATACCGTTTATTCCACTAATATCAAATATATATATATTTATCAACAAACGGTAAAGTTCAACAATCTGTATTCAAACCATATAACAACACAATATTCCGCACCATACAACGACACGGATATCCAAATCAAATAATTGAGAAACAGCAGCATGCACTCCGGAATTGCTCAGTACTCCAGACAAAACAACGAGCCCGAGAATGCACCTCAACATACACAGCAGAGATCAGCCCCTGGAAATCCCTCAGGGACAATTGAGAAACAACACAAAACGTAATAGGGACTGGCGCCCGGTAAACCCTCGGACACAACCAATCCTATAAAAACAATACTTAATTACAGAACTATCACACAGAATGGCTCCTGGAACTCAAGAGAAACGATCAGCTCTCAGCCCAGCACCTCACTCGTGCTGCCTAACCTGACTTCTGCGTTTCAAATGAACTAACCACTACTACTGTTATTACTTCTCTGCCTAGCAAACAGAACCGAAAACATATTGCCCACTATTCCTCCTCTTTCACTTTCAATGGTCACTTTCTTACTGGAGGTAAATTCCCTCACCCCTGTACATATACACAGATATAGTAGAATCGATAGAGATATAGACAACTTCTGGGCAGCCTTCCACAGCCTACTTGTTCCTCAGCCTCCCTATCCTCTCTTCATCGAATGGATATGACCTGGAAGAGACTAAGTAATGTGGAAAAACTTTCATAGAGATAAAAAGGATCCCCTACAAAGTAGACAGTCACTACACTTTGCAGTATATTCCGTGAAGCACTTTGAGATGTACTCCTGATGTGAAAGCTGCTGTATCAAACGTAAGAAGTATTATTCAGGAATATTATAAATAACCTGTATTTATTTTCTCCGTTAGTGTAAGCTTTGCACATGTACCAGGAATAGACTGATACTGTGGGACAACTGTGAGCATTGGTAATTTTTCTTGCAGTTAATCTCTGACTAAAATATCTTCAATTCTTATCCCAGGACTCACTCTCCAACGCAATCTCTTTCCTCCACTGTCCTGCCTCCATGTACTGTTCTCCTCAACCTTCCTTTTTTCAGTGTTATTGTACAATCTGAGCCTCCATATTGTAATTGTCTACACAAGTCAAAGGCTGGTGATTTGCTCGGCTAAACCTGCTCTCTATAATTCTGTAACAGGCTGTTGCTCCTTCTCCTGTATTATCTGATGGTCATACATCTACTGACTAAAGCCCTGAAGCCCCTTATAGACCTGCTAATTTTAGCCCAAACGCAATGTTTCCGAGGTTACATTAAAATGATCACATTAGCAGCCCAATCAAACGAGGTACAAGCTGAAGCTCAAGTAATAGTGTCAGCCTGCCTCAGGTGGTAGCACTCTCACCTCCGAGTCAAAACATTGTGGGTTGAAACCCCCCACGCTGGGCCTTGGTGCTGAACTCCTGTACAATGCTCTGCATTGCGTGTAGATCTCGTAGGTCGTTTAGGAGGAACTTCAGTAATGAGAGGGTGGTGAGAATGTGGAACTCACTGCTGAAAGCTGTGGTTGCAGCAAATAGCATCAATGCATTCAAGAGAAAATGTTGCAAACATGAGAGAAAATGGAATGGCGGGATGGGAATAGGAGCACCTTGACTATAAACAGCGGCACAAACAGACACATACACACACACTGACGTCTAATGTCATGTTCATATGTGTCACCCTACGAACTATAAAGGTGCCATCTGCCTGTTCAAAACAGAAAGGAGTTTCTCTTGGTGTCCTGGCCAACAAATCCCTCAGATAAAATTGATCATTCACTTCATGCCCATGCGTGACACATTGCTTCGTGCAAATTATAATAAATAATAATATTAACTGCGCAAACACTCATAAAATATACGTTGACTACACATATCATTTTATAATAGTCAAGAGCAAAAGACCAGTGGCAAACAGTAATTTAGCTGAAAACAGCTTTAATAGGAAGTGCAAGCCTTATTTTACATACATAAATATATATATAAAACACAAACAAGTAAATCACAGCCAGAAGACAGTAATTGAATCTTAAGCTTTCAATTATGATGGAAATTATTACCTTGTCAAAATCTCGAGATTCAATTACCGCCTTGTGGCTCACTGACAACCATCTATTATCTGGTGTTTAGAGGAGACGATTACAGAGCAAAAAGGTCGCAGAGTACCAGATTCAGAACACACCTGAACAGTGTGGGAATATTAAAATTTGCAAAGAGGAAATTGAATTCATTTGCAAAAAACATTTAACAGGTTGACTTTGAGAGTTAACCTTTCTCCTTGTTCTGTTCAGACCAAGAGAATCCCCAACCCCTTAGAAAATGTGCCGAATGTATTTGAAAAATCACACTGTTTATCGCCAGAAATAGACCAGCTAGTTGACTTCCAATATCCAGCAACTGTTTTATTGCTCTAGGAAAGGGGGGCAGATCTATCACATTGGGACATAAAGATATTTAACACTGAGATTAATAATCATTTGACCTGATAAGGCATTTGATATGGATTATTACATTAATAATAATAATCCACATCAAATCCAAGGATTATTATTATTATTATTTACTCTAGGAAGAAAGATTTACCAAGTAATCAGTCTGCCTTACTGACCTAAGATGGCCCTGACAACTATAAACAATTCATCTGGTTAAGACACAAGCTGAGAATAGAATGATTGGCTAAACACTTGGGGGGAATGTGAAGCCACAGATATGTTATTGTACAATGACCCGAGATACAGTTGATGCATAGATAGGATGACAGATCAGTTTTCCTCCTAATCGCTTCTGTTGAGTGGAATATATATGATAGAAGATTATTACTCAAGAGCATTTCCAATTTTAACTTACCTTCTGAGAGTTTGTTACTTTTAAATAGCAGGTCTGCCCTCCACAGCCCCCTCCCCATCACCCCCACACCCCAGGATTCCTTTAACTTTGAAAGTTCAGAAGGGATTCATTACTGGGAAGGATAAAACATGGTACATAGGAAACAGGCTTGCTGCCAGAACAGGACAAGTGAATGCAACAGGATAATGGTCTGTGCTGTACCTGCATAGCTGCTGTGCTTTTTGAGGAGGCAGAATAATTTAACATGGACTCTATTTATAGCAGGAGGAATTAAAACACGATCCCCTCTATATCCTCTACATATTCCATTCAACGAAAGCGATTAGGAGGGGAAGAAAAGGGATTTAAAACTCTACCCTCACTGTGGAGGACTCCTAATGCAGCAGTGCACAGCCACAATATACAGCATTTGACAGTAGGTGATCTATAATGCACAGTGATTGTCTTGTTCTCCACTTGCACACTGATATTTTCTTTCCTTTTATTAATTTCCTAATAGTTTGCTCTCCTCGGTGTGCGGAAGGAGTGGTTAACCAGAATAGAGGAGGCCAAAATAAACACCCCAAGTTGAACTCAATTATAATTTCACACTTTTTTTTAGAAAAAAAAGTAAAACGAAATACATTATAGCTGAAAGCAATGTTATTGTCATTTCATTTAAACCCAAACCCAGACATTATATTATAATGTATTGAAATGTTTAGCACAGTTTTACATAGATATCACTACTTTTTTGAGGCGGGGGGGGTCACCTTGCACAAAGCGCTTGTCATTGCCAGACTAGTGACACTAGGGGGGGGAGTGAGATCTGCTCTGAGGTTCTCATGTCAAGAACTTGGTGACATTTCCAGCTGTTACAGAGATGTCAGTGGAAGGTTTTCCCAATCGCTGCTTTATTGCTTTAAAATAATTACATTTTTCTTCTTTTTTTTCCCCCCACCACCACCCCACCCAATTGAACAAAACTTTCCCTTTTTCGGGTTGCCCTACAAAAGCAGCTTTGCAGTCTGCAATCTGACTTCAGCCCCTTTGTTAGAGAGAAAATGATTATTAGCTTGATATTTAATCCAGTTTTCTTTATTGTTTGTCTCTGAAATACTTGCACTGCACAGAGCGAGGACGTTGCTCTATTTCAAGGCAGTATCTTAGCCCAGCTCAGGATTTCAGGCTCATTTCACTTAACTTTAGTCAAATACATGGCCATTCGCACTCTCCTGCAGATCCATTCAGGGCTGGTGAGTTTTGTGACATTGCTCAAAGGTAATTAAAACACCATTTAGGGCACACAGAATCCACAGGCCCAACTGAATCCACTGAAAGAACAGCAGCGACCAAACAAATTCTATAGGCTTACATTTGTATGGATCCTGAATGGCTATCCATCCTTTCTAACCTGACCTGTAAAACCCTGGTGAGTCAAGCTAAGCTAAACACGTAGCTTTTTCACTTTCTAGGGATTTGTTTCTATAATAATGTCGCCTACAGGTGCACAGGTCACCTCATTTTACAGTAAACCGCGTGAAGCGATTTCCCACGTTTCAAAGACATAATAAGGCATTATATCAAACACGACTCTTGTTGCTGTAAAAGGAAATACAGTCATTAGTTTCCACCCACACGTTATAAAATCTCTCCAGTTGCACAAATTGACACACTCTGCACTGCACTTTGAGAAAACTGTAAGGCTTCTGAAGCCCAGCTCTAAGATGAGGTTAAGATGCGCTATTTCTCAAACAAAGCTCTTCCCTTAAGCATCTATGCCACCATCACACATATCTTCCTGATAATGTGGCTCAGTTGGTAGCACTTTGCTGAATCAGAAGGTTGTGGGTTCAAACCCCCCGAGTTGGGACAAGGCTGACAGTGCAGTACTGGGAGGGCACTGCCTTGTTTAAGGTTGAAGACATTACCTAAAACTCCTAGGAATTAAAAAAAACTAACTTCTTTTAAAACAAATCATCTCATGGCTAACCTTAGGAGCTTGTAACTCATTAAATGACTGCTGTGTTTGCCTACAGTCACTAACCTGGCAGTAATTGGGATGATTTTGACCATTATAATAGTCTTAAAAAATGTTCTTTATCACTATTTAAAGTTGTTTCAGTAGTCAGTAGAGCATGTCTGATGTGATGGGGTCCAGGTGTGAATCCAGGACAGACTGTCTCCCTTCTCTCCAAGTTTATTTCATTTTATATCAGGATCGTTTGACTCAAACTTAATTGCGATAAAGTTGCTAAGATTTTATTTAGTAGTTCACTGAAGCTTCAGTGCCCCCCCTCCCCCCACCTGTTGTGGAATAACATTTAATAAACGTTACAGGACCACATTCGTTGAGTGTGGCTTTAGGAGCAGAGTTGAGGTGTTGTCACCTTTTGGAAATAATAATAATAATAATAACCCTTGCATTTGATATAGCTCCTTATCACGTCTTCAGGACATCACAATAATAATGTATAAATAATGTAACAAAAGAGGAAACAAGAAATAAAATGCACAGAAAATGCACATTTTTTCCAGACCCCTTTGAAACCCATCTCTCCTCACCTACCCCTTTCTTTCAGATTGTTTTCCTCTTTGATTCCTGATCGCTGGAATCTTTGTACTTTTGTTCGCACAATATGCATTTATCACTTAAATATATATATATATATACGTTAACGCTCCTATCTTGATATCCAGCACTATTCTCGTCTCTTCTATGGCTCTCTGTGTTTATAGATAGCACTATTATTGCTCTTGACATTGTGTGCATTTGTCATTATCATCCAACGAGATACCACCTCAAACTAGTCTGGTTGGTTAAACATATCTGTTTCAGGAGCAGATCTATTCCTGTTGTTTGTCTTGTTATGTTCCCCCAACGCACACTCTGGGATCCCCAAGCCTCGGCTCTTGCCGACCTGCACTTAATACCTTCTGGAATTATGCAAGCAGGATGTGTCCTTCCAGGGAGAGAGTGTGCAATCCATTTCGACCCAACAATCTCTCTCTGGGATTTCCACGGGCGGGTTTGGATAACCTTAAGCACGGCGATGGGTTTCCGCACGTGTCGGGACACCTGGCTGACCCCCCAAAAAAATAATTAGGTGACACACTAGTGTCTTGCAGCCTCATATATCTGTCTGCTGATGCGCAATGGAAGCTGATGTGATCTCTTTTGGATGGTGTGTGTGTGTGTGTGGTGTGTGTGACAATGGAGCAGTGGCTTTCACACAGACTTAGGCAAAGCAAGCTCAGGTTTCATTCAGCTCCTGGGAAGGTTGATAGTGAGCTGAAGGCGGAGTGAAGCTGATGTAACAGGAAGCTGCAAGCTTTCCTGTTAATGATGGTGCTCTTGTCTGAATCACTCACTCTCTGACAGACAGCAGGATCCCACTGCTGAATTTAAAGCAGGGCTGCCCCAGAGGGAAGAGTCCAGTTTGGAAAGTGTCAGCAGCAAGTCACAGGGGCAGGACCAGATCTGGATTATATCCTCTCGACTCACCTTCCACATCCACAAGCAAGGTGGTGGGGAGGGGGGGGTGGGGGAAACATATTTACAAGGAGCTGGAGAGAAAAAAAATTGGATAACACCCCCACCCCATTCCTGAAGACTATTTCTCTGGGATCTCACTTTAGTTCCAGTTGGTAAGTACAGCACTTCTTTGGTCTTGACATCTCACACCAGGTTTATACAGAACACACACACACACACACAACACACACACACACAACACACACACAAACACTCACACACACACAAAATCTCCCACGAAAAGAGAAATCAGATCGTTTTGGCAGAGGAATGAGCATCTGTCAAAATAACTGCAATCCCCTGTGTTAGCAAAACGAATCATGATTTTTTTTTTCCCCTTTCCCCCTATTTCACATTTGTGTGCAGCATCAGATAACTTTGCTGCCAGGAGTTTCATTGCAGGGATAAGGATAAGGAACATATATCATCTGCATGATTTTTTTTTTCTTCTTCTTCTTCGGGTGATAGAAATAACAGACGTGGTTTTGATCTCTTGTTTCTGTCTCTTCAGGGTTAACAGGCAGTGAGTTAGTTCTACACTACCACTTGATGTCCTGCAGCTGAGGTTATAAAATACCTTTCTATTTTAGACATTAGTCCTCATGAACCTCAGCTCTGGCAGAATATGATTTTGCCAATAGATTTGAATCCACTCCTTAATTAAACCTCCATCAGAATCCTTGGTCCATTGCAAAAATCACCCCCAATTTACCCCTCTCAACTAAAAGAAAATGCCTTGTTTTGAGGTCTTGCAAAATGTACGTTTGCTCGTGTGTGAATACTCTGATGATATGTTTCATAAATCCTAAAAGTCACATTTCTTACAAGGTTTTTCTTTTCGCAGTTGGATGGTCGTGATTTTAAACCACAATGCTTAAAACACTAGCCTGCCTCGTGCAAAGTTTAAATGATAGTAATATTATCAATAATGTTATTATTATTATTCATGTATTAGTAGTAATAATAATAATAAATGATGTACAAATGCAAACACATTAAAATGAACATTGATAGCTCTCTCTACATTCTTGCCATCAGGTCTCTTCAGTGCCTTCGCGAATATAATATGTTTTGAAGCTGAATGTTTGGCATATTACTTACTGGTAAACCAGGTGTCTGGAAGAAAAATAGTGAGGTTATCATTGCAGAACAGACAATCTGCTAAATTGTTGGGGGAGTTCGTGCTGAATCCAGAAACATTTTAACACATGTGGGGGTGGGCAAAACTCATCGAAATTAATCAGAGTTCGGTTTTGCTTATTTTAATCTATTATTAATAATAATAATCCTTGCATTTGATATAGCGCTTTTCACGTCGGGAGGACGTCCCAAAGCGCTTCACAGAATATACTGTAAAGTGAATTGTCTGTATATTTGTGGGCGAACGCGGCAGCCAATTGCACACAGCAATGTCCCAGAAACAGTCGTAGATTGAAAATGACCAATTTATTATTGTTTTTGATTTTGGGAGGGATTATTATTAGGTGTGTGGAGTAAGGAAACTTGCCCAAGGTTTCGCCCTCTGCCTGGAATTCAACTCAGTCTCTCGCTTGCAAAGCGAGTGCTCTAACCATTGAGCTACAGGACTATTGCTGCATTGATAGCACTGCCGTATATTCTGGGTACACTTTCCGAAGTGTCATTGGAGCGTGAGTAACACGACTTACTCAAAAGTATCAGGTTGATCAATATTGGTCCCGAACTGTTCCAATACCTGACAGTCTCAGGTTGTGTTGGAGTACAAGCTTATGCCCGAAGGAGGGCACCACAGGGTTTTATTCTAATGTACAGACACATTTGGTGGCATTGAAAGAAAACCTTTTTTTTTAAAAAAAGTGGTGTCAAAAATCTTCATCACTTGTAGAGCAGTTGCATTGTGAGTGTAGAAGAATGCATTTTTCACCCCCATCATTTGCTTCAAAACCATTGTTTTCACATCCACAAACTAACTAACTAACCCGATGTTATTCATCACAGCACCGCTTATGCCACTCACATAAATAATCCTCAACTGCACGAGTCCTATAATGCACAACAATATTTTGTTGCCTGTGAACACTGTCATTCAAATAAACTCAAATAAACAACAATAATCCTTGCATTTTGATATGGCGCCATAACACGGTGTTGAGACGTCTCAAAGTGCTTCACAGAATATTTTGTAAAGCGATGTGACTGTGTATTTTGTGGGCGAAATGTGGACTTTGCAGCCTCTAATATAAGTACAATCTGGCTCAGCTGCAAACACTGTTGCCTTGGAGCCATTAGGTTGTAGGTTCAAGTCCCACGTTGGGACTTTAAGCTGACATTGCCTCTGAAGTCACTGCATTGTTTGAGGTGCTGCCCTTCAGCTGAGATGCTAAATCGTGTCTCCCTATTCAGGTGGATGGTAGCGATCCCATATTACTATCTGGTCAACCTAAAAATGGTCATTCACTCCATGGCTGTTTGTGAAATATTGCTGTATGCAAATTGGCTGCCACATTCACTTACAAAATACCCAGTCTTTACACCTTGCAGTATACCCTGTGAAACGCTTGAGATGTTTAAATAATATGATAAGGTGCTATGTTAATTGGAATGTGTTAGATTAACATTCATTTCTGACTAGATGATGAGGATTGCAATTTAAGCCTAAACTCTCATGTAACTTGTTGTATATCATGTCATGTCTAAATAAAAAAAAACATTAATCTTATTTAGGCTATGTTTAAAAGTTGTGTGAGTCTGCATCTCATCTGTAATCTTTTTTACTGGATGTAATATATCAAATAAATTTACATTAGTAAAATACGAGAGAGTGTCGCCATATGTTCCCAGCTGATGAAGGGGGCCTTTTGAGATTGTTTGTAAGTGGGGGATACAGTTCAAACTAACCATTGAAAACACATTGCAAGTTCAGCTAGGCGTTAAATTATATCGATTGGTACTATTAATGATGTTGTTGTACTTGCAGAGCAGATGAGCGCATTTGCTCCAATTCGCACAGATAAGTAGACGGTTGTGTGTGTGCATTTCATTTTTTACCCACGTACAGCGATGTAATATTTTACTTCTGCACATAAATCAATGGCTGCAGATCCCACTGGAATGATAATTCTCTGCAGTTTATAGAGCATAAGAAAACATTTGTATGTGACACAAGCAGAATGGGTCAAACAGCCCCTTCTGTGCCCAATATGCCATGTGAATTTGACCGAGATATCTACATTATTTGGATGGGAGATGTTGATAGAAAATGTATTTGCCTTGTTCATTACCAAAATGATTTTGATAATGAAGAAGGCAAACTGGCTCAGCAAGGCATAGAATGTACTTATAACCTTACCTGCAAACAGCTAACACTGACATATGGAACAAACGTACACATTGGATGTGAAAAGGTGAAAGGATTATTGGTGAATTGTGCAAGTGCAATGTGAAGATTAAAATCAAAGGATAGAACAGCTTAATCTCATACTTTGTTTATAATAAAAAGAAGCACTTTCAGGAGGACTGGGGGGGAAACAGCAAATTGGCTTCTATTGGGACAACTGTTGGAAATTGAGTCTATTCGAGATGAATAAAGCATTTCTTGGTGGGATCGATTCATTGGAAAGGCTAGTGGGCTCTTCATCTGAGTACGCGGTGGTTAAAACAAAAACGCAGCCACAAGCTTATTCGATTCATTTGCATCTCCGAGCGCTACTGTCCCACGTTTCATGTCACCCTGGTGTTGAACCAGAGTCTCTCCTGATTGCTCTGAAGTGGAACCGAACCCAAATGAAAAAGCCATTGAAAAATAACACGTGGATGAATCTACATCTGTATTTGGATGCTTCCACGTTTCAGCCCTGTTCCTACAATGGTGGGAACAGAAGTTTCAATTTAAGTTGAATTTAAAACCACTGAAGGTGAGAGGATTGACAGAATCTGAGTCAGCCACATTAGTTTGCATTTACAGATTCTTTCACCCTCTTCAGCATCAGGGTTCATAGGGAAGCCTTAAATTAATTAAAGACTATTCGTTTTACCCAGTGGGTTTCCAAAGCTACCTGGGGAAAAGGTTTAGCAGAGTTGCTAACAGGAAACCCTGCCAATGACTGCCTTAGAAATATCCTGCAATTTACTACCAACGTTTGCGAACGGAAATCCCACGAGTTGACTGTGACTTACTGCTAGTTAATGATAGATTTCTCCATTAATAACACTTGAGTTTCTGTTCGTGAATCCGGTTTGCAAATGTGGCTTCACTGGTCATCTGCGTGAGGTTGGAGTAATTTGCTTGTAATTACGCTTTGATTTCTTCCAGTGACCGTGAATATCTGCAATTTAGCTAGGCAATGATTAGACAAGCAAGGGTTCTTAACTCTTGAAAGGAGACATCTCAGAGGGCAACTTTATGTAGACACATGTAGGATTTTAAATGGGATTGAGAAAGTGAATGCAGAGTAACACTTTCGAGACACCAGAACAAGAGGACACAGGTGTGTTTGGTTGCAAAGGACAAATTCAGAACAGACAGCAATAATTATTTCTTTACTCAGAAAAGTAACAGCTCGATTCTGGGAAGGATGGGTATTCTGGAAGCTTGAGATCAAATGGGCCTTCTTTATCCAAATTCACCAAATGATCTAGTGATCCGTTTATGTAAAGCTGCTGGTCAACAAAACTAAACTGGAAACTTTCAGTGAACAACCACACGTGAAACCTTCTCCACTTGTACTAAACAACACCCTTCCGTTATTCACATATAGTATTTGCTATATTTTTGTCTTGCATTAATATGCATTAATCTACCACTATCTTGGTCAATATATATGTATATATATATGTGTGTGTGTGTGTTGGCTCCAGACTTTTCCTGAATGGTATCTATCTCACTTAAAATGAAACAGAAAGTGAATCGTCAGTATTCTCCCAACTCAGAATCCAGCAGCAGGGAGTAACAGTTAAATCACAGCCATTGAAAATAGGAGAGAACAAGAAACTGACTTGCTGGCCAGAGTCTATAGTTCATTACAATTCTCAGAGTCCCGTTAGATTTAGAGCTTGGGAGAATTCTGCCAACAACTCTGTTCACCTTCCACTTTCTGTCACACGTTCATAAGCTCATGTTTACAAACATTCAAAT